CCCGGATTGTTGTTGGGGGCAATATGCTGACTCTGTAAACCGCTTAGAGAGGGCTGAAAGCCCTATGAAGCGGTATATAAGTCTAACTATTGCTGCATTGCTATTATTCTTCTCTTCCTTCCTATTATCTATCTCCTCCCTCTTATGACTGTAACTTTGCTGCTTGTATCTCTAGGATTGACATTGTTTTATTTGTTTCCTAGTATGGTTTGATCGATTATTAGTAACCTATGACTATCACTAAGTGTTGTATCTTATGATTCTTGATGAATGTATTTTATTTTTCTTTTATGTACACTGAGAGTCCATGCACCAAAAGACAAATTCCTTGTGTGTCCAATCATACTTGGCCAATAAAGAATTTTACTGTATGGACAACCAGCCTGGTACAATTTAAAGATGCAACCCGTTGCACGCTCACTTCGGAATAACAACAACTCACTTTTGCAGCGATGTGCAGCGTCGCACGCGCTATATTGAGATGCTCGCCTAGAATCAGCCGCTGGGAACAAGCTAAGCCCCGTTGAGCTGTCGCTCCCCGCGGGCCAGCCAATAGGAGCGCGAGTTAGCGTCCCGCCTCCCAACGAACGTTCCCGAGTAGGCTTCACGCACGCAGCGTCAGGAGAGGCTGCTCGCCCCGCCCCTTCGTTTTGGCGTGAGTTGCTTTGTAGCGCAAAGCAATTGGTTACCATAGAGACAGAAAGGGGGCGGGCTTTTTGGGCCAAGCTTCTTCAACCTGGCGCCCTCCAAGTTCATTTGAGTTATCATAAAAAGAAGTTGCGTTAAATTCCGAAGTAATATTGCGCCGCCCGTCTCGAAGCCAGCCAAGTTGCGGGGAAGGGAGGGACGGGGTTCCAAAGCAGCCCTTTTCACGTGCAAACTCAAAACAGCCGCATTCCCACGACGTTTGAACTTGGGTTCGCTGATTGCTGCCTTGCCAGGGGTGGGGGTGGGGGGCAAGTTTGGTTACCTTGCGAATGATGATTCCCCGGAGATTCACCCGAGCATTCGTCAGCTTCGGCATCACGTGTGCACGCGTGTCAATAATCCGTGTCTGAAGACGTAACAACGGGAGCGCCGATCTTGCATGCAAATGAACGAGCAAAGGGGGGGGGGGAGAGGGTTCAAAAAAGATTTCCAAAAAAATTGTAAAAAAAAATAATCAGTTTTTTTTTGGGGGGGGGGTAGCGCGTTCTCCCCGTCTTCATTTAAGCTGTTTCTCCTGGAAGACCCCATATCCGCAGGGGTGCAAATCTTGGGGAAGGGTTGGTAACCCTGAGAACCCCAAATGTCAAGGAAACGTCAATCACAGCCATTCTCCAGGGGAATTTCTTAGCCCAGCCTGCCCCACAAGCCTCCTGTGGGGGAAAAAGGGGAGCAGCCTGCATCCTTTTCAACCGTGAAGATAGCGGACTCTTAAAATGCAATAAAAGCATGTAAAAATACAGACAGGGAGATATTTTTTCGGGGGGGGGGAGAATTTCCATAGACAGAATAATTAGATTGGGGGGGAGAATCTCCATAGAATAAACAGATTTTGGGGGGCAAGAATCTCCATAGACCAGTGTTTCTCAACCTTGGTGACTTTAAGTCCTGTGGACTTAAAGAACTTAAAGTCGCCAAGGTTGAGAAACACTGCCATAGACAGAATAAGCAGATTTTGGGGGGAAGAATCCCCATAGACAGTTTGACTAAGCAGATTTCTTTTGGGAGGGGGGAAGGGAAATCCCCATAGACAGAATAAGCAGATTTTTTTTTGGGGGGGGGAGAATCTCCATAGAATAAACAGATTTTTTGGGGGAGAATCTCCATAGACAGAATAAGCAGATTTTTGGGGGGAGAATCTGCATGGACAGTTAGAATAAGCAGATTTTTTTTGGGGGGGGAGTGGAGGATCACCATAGACAGTTAGAAAAAGCAGATTTTTTGGGGGGTGGGGATGCGAGCAACCTTGGAAGCCAGCGCGGCGTTTGCAATGTTCTCTCTCACCTGGTGCGTGGATCCTTTAAAACAGTGTTTCTCAACCTTGGCAACTTGAAGACGTCTGGACTTCAACTCCCAGAATTCCCCAGCCAGCGAATGCTGGCTGGGGAATTCTGGGAGTTGAAGTCCAGACGTCTTCAAGTTGCCAAGGTTGAGAAACACTGCTTTAAAAGCGCGCATCGCCTTTGCCAAAAGGGGAGATCGACCCGAATCGAATGAAACCAACATTTCGCGAGTTTTCGAAATGGTCTGCAACCCCCCCCTCCCCCCAGGACGAAGAAACGGAGCCCCTCCAGATTTAACCTCAACTTGACTCCGTTTAGGATGCCGTGCAAGGTTGCGCCTTTGGGGGATCGCGGAAAGCAACTCCCCTTTTCCGCCCCGGCAGCGGCT